ATGTGAAAAGGGGGGTACAAGTGACTGCTTTCTCAGGGGGGAGAGTTGTGGAGTCGACTAGAATACCATGTCTTGATGATGGTGAGCGGTACAAGTTCCTTGGAGTACTTGAGAGTGTTAGGCAGGAGGATAAGTTGGTCCTGGAGTGTGCAGCAAGAGAGTATCTCAGACGATTGTCAGTTATTTGGACAAGTCCCTTGTCCGATTATAATCGGGTGGTAGCGTCAAATCAGTTTGCATTGCCTGTTCTTGGATATCTTATGTGGACACAACAGTGGCCGGTGATGGAACTTAAGCAGATCGATAGGGAAGCGCGCAAGATTGTTGTCGAGAGTGGGGGTAGACACCCATGTAGTTCGAATGCATTGTTGTATATGCCAAGAAGTAGAGGAGGGCGGGGATTGCGCTCTGTTGAAATGGAGTACAAAGCCACAAAAATCAAGGGTGCAGTCAGACTCCATGGTAATGAAGATCGTGCACTGGGAATGGTACGGGAGTTTGAAGAGCAAGCGGCGAGGATGGGGCGTAGGTCAATTTTTAAAGAAGCGGCTAAGTGCGCGGAGGAGTTGGGGCTGGAGTTGGATTTGGAACACGCGCAAGGGATCAAGAAAGAGGTGCGGAGGTGCCAAATTGAGAAGTTAGAGGATGAGATCAGAAACCAACGGTGGCAAGGGCGTCTAGTGACTACTAGGCTGGAGGATGAGAGTTTGAGTGCCGATGGGTGTTTCTGGTGGCTCACAGAGTGGAAGAACTGCCCATCACACACAATTGCTGGACTCGTCGAGCTATACGAGCAGCTATTGCCAACGCGAGTATACACGAGTCAGAAGACCCACACAAGCGGAGAAGGCGAGATGAGGTGCAGATTATGCGGCAAGGCTCCAGAGAGTGTGGCACATATCTTGTCAGGATGCAGTGCACTGGCCCAGAGCAAGTATCTCTCTAGACACGACGCAGCACTGAAGGTACTGTTTTACCAACTGTTGTATGATGAGGGATTTATAGACGAGATACCACCCTGGTACTCACCCGACAAGCCGAAGCCCGTGTATGAGTCAGAGAATGTTAAAGCTTATTGGGATGTCCCTATATATGCTGATCAACAAGAGGTCAGATGCAATAGGGTGGATGCACGCATTGTAAATCATATGTGCAAGAGAGTTGTGACGCTGGAAATGAGCTGCCCGTGGGTTAACAATCGGACAAGAAAGGATGAAGAGAAGACACTGAAGTACGGACCCCTTCGCTGGGAACTAAGGCAGCAGTTCCCAGGCTACGAGGTGAAGCAATATAACATCATTATGGATGCCCTCGGGGGGTGGTCACGGGAGCTGGATGTCATGATGCGCGAGCTGGTGGGAGGCAGAAGCACAGACGTACTGCGAAAGATGCAGAGGGCAGTGCTCTCGGGCACGCTGAATATTGCCCGGACTTTCAAGGTGGCAGTTTGACTTTCTGTTAGAAGGAGGACCGTAGACACAACGGAAAAGCTTTTTAGGATTAGTTAATGTACATTTATTTTTTTACTCCATGGCTCACAGGTTACGGTTTTCGCCCTGTGCTGCCTGATTAGAATGTAGCATTCAGTTGATTTCTCTGCGACATAATAATAATAAACAATACTTTGACAGGGAGCCCACTTCAACAAAAGGTGCTCATCAGTGAGGCCCTGCATATGCTACGAAAGAATTACAATAAAAGCTAAACTAGAACTAGATAAGAATAGAAACCTACTTCCACTTGACAATGCATGTTTAACTAAAATGCATGTTTAAACTTAGATTTAAAGTAAGAAAGTACTGCGGTGTCACGTATATCACTATTCAAACACTTGAAGATCGTTGTCAGTACAACGATGGAAACGTCGCCTGAGATGCAGTGACTTCCAACCAAGAGAATTAAGAGCTTCGGACACCGAGTCATGCGGATGGCGATCAAGAATTATCTTAGCAGCTTTATTTTGAAGAACCTGGAGATTCTCCATGAGAGTGGAGTTGTTCTTATCACCCAAACAATGTCACCATAATCAAACAAGGGAAGGGTGAGACTATTGTAGAGAGTTGGACGGAATTGCAGTGGTAGCATCTGCTTTACTCTTCTCAGGACACCAAGGCCTTGATTGACTTTGTTGACAACCGAAGAAACGTGATCTTGCCAAGTCATATTTTGACTGATTGTAACTCCTAAATACTTAAAAGAGTCAGTTCTTTCTAAGTTATAGTCATTAATGCAAAGAGAAAAATTCTGTAAAGATTTAAGTTTATGGGTACTACCAAACAAGACAAATTTGCATTTGCTTTCGTTGAGGGTAAGGAGATTGTCAAAAAACCACTTGCTAATAAAATGTAGATCGGTATCTAGCCGGACCTCAAGGGTAGCAGCATCCTTCGCTGAAACATAAATAACGGTATCTTCACCATATAACGTTAAGTCACATTCACGTAGACAAGATGGTAAATCATTAACATAAATAAGAAACAACAAAGGTCCGAGGATGCCTCTTTGCGGGACACCAACAGGTACCGGTTTACTAGAAGAACGAGCATTTCCAACAGCGGTAACTTGGGAACGGTTTCCCAGGTACGACTTAAACCACTCGACCGAGTGAATAAAAAACCCAATCGAGTAGAGTTTGAGAATGAGTCGCTGATGGTGAACAGTGTCAAATACTTTAGCCAGGTCCAGAAAGACCGCGCCGGTGACAGATCCTTCATCCATATTACCCAATACAGTGTCGCAAAAGTGAGCAAGTACGACATTAGTAGATTTCATCGGGCGGAAACCGAGTTGTTTAGGAGTGAGGATGTCATTATCCATTACGTGTTTGTAAACTTGCATATAAATACCTCTCTCAAGGATTTTGCTGATTGTTGGTAGAATAGAAATTGGTCTGTAACTATTAGGGTCACCTCGATCACCACATTTAAACAGCGCTGACACTTCACTGCACTTCCAGAGCGAAGGGAAATTTCCAGAATCCAAAGAACGATTGAATAGAAGCGTTAAGCTATCAGCTATGACGGGGGCGGAATCTTTGAGTAAGCGAGCACTTATCCGATCCAAGCCAATAGCCTCGTCCTGCAGTTTTCAGTAGGGAAAGGTGCTTTAAAGTTAACTGCACATCAACAGGGCTAAGTTTAAACCTGTTTATATTGTTATTGACATTTGAAGAGCCATGAAGAAAGGATTTTATGTCGGAAAAGAGTTTTGGAGTCCTATAAGATGTTCATCACTTTACTATAGCTTAACATAACACTCACCTGCTTCCTTGCATAACTTTCATACCAAATCCAGTATGTACTTTAGTGACTCATTTATCAAAATCAGTTGAGAAAAACTTGGCTTAATAAGGTTTATGAGGTTTTTGGCACAAACTCTTCATGCCCTCTAAGGCCAAGCAAAGTGGAGTTTTGAGCATAATTTATGCTATCAACAGATCAAATTCTTGCCATAAAGCAATTAGGTGAGCAATTAGTATTAGGTGGATAAAGCAATTAGTATTAGGTGAATGAAAATGAAACACTAAAGCCAGTCCAGTGTCATTATCTGGAAATACCTCGACTCATAGCTTACAAATGCTCTAAGAAGGCCTCTGATTAGCACTACCATACACCCGGGGTTTAGCAAATAAACGTAGTTGAGGTGAAAGTAAATGATGATTTTCTCACCTAGATATGACAATCTTTTTTAGAGATGCTTGAAGTTCCTCCGATTTATATTTTTCAGGTCATTTTTCCATACATACTATACCTACAAGCCTGCAAAGTCTCCATATTTTGTCGGACCCATTTTTTGATGCAATATGAAGTGAGCTTAATGATAACGATCGTTAACAGAAGATCTATGGTTAAACTTTTGGTAGCCTTGCTAGCTCTTGTAAATACGCATGATGGCATCAGTAAAAGAGCAGGACAATGCAAACAAGTTACAGTGAGTAGTGTGCAGGTGACTTGTGATCCATCCGACTTCCCTGGTACGCTAGAGCTTAATAAATCCACAGTTAAAAGAGCTGTATAACAAATATTTTGTGTTGCAGTTTATATGAAACATGCCACGGAACAGCTCGAGATGCGATTGATGCTCGAGATGCCCACCATATTGGACGTGAGAGGGAAAGGACTGGACCAAGTCGAGGAGTCACGCAACCTTCACTGAGTTTTGAGTAACGCGGGTTTGTCGACCATCACTAGTGTTAATCACAGGAATTTGCTAACTCTAGAAGAGGTTCATAATACGAAGGCTTAGGATTAGCACTACCTATAATTTCAACGTCAAAAAACGTGCACAATGACTGTAGTTGACTAAGTTTTTGCTATTGCAACACCTTGGCTAATCTTCCCTTGGCAGAAAGTTTGCGAAAGTTGAAATCTTCATACAAAAGAGAATTGGAAAACAACAAGACTATTTTTTAAACATGCGTCCTAAACCCTTTTGATAGGAAAAAAAATTAATGGAAATAATTTTTGGACGGGAAGTTGAGAGGACCGCTCTTGGCGAGAGTTGCAGTTGAAAAGCCATCTGCTACACTTATGCGAGTGTATGAGCCCTTTCTTATATTTTGAATTACCTGTAGGAATGAATGAATGACTAGTTTATTAAACTCTCTGGCAGTAAAGGACCTGAATTATCGAGTGTATTTTACACTCTTAATTATCTAAAAACTAAAAATTAACGACTATAACAGTGATAATAACAATTGAATCATTTAAAATATTTAAATGTAAAAAAGTCCTCCGTTCTCTTTGTCCTACATATCTGAATGTTTCGGAAGAGATAGTACTTTTGTACTCCTGCACGCACCTAATTACAACTTAAGGCAGAAAAGCCATAAGTTGTAATTAGGTGCATGCAGGAGTAGGCTGGGGAGCAGATGGTGCAGCGGGTGGCTGGGGGACTTCATTTTTTCCATGTATTTATAGTACAGGTCTACTCTTCTGTCATCTAGCCTATCTAATTTACCTAATAATCTGAATATCTCAATAAAGTTGAAATGGTAAATTGGCCACCGTTACGATTATAAAAGCTGACGTTTCGAGCGTTAGCCCTTCGTCGGAGCGAATAGGGCAATTGTGGGTTGTGTGTACTTTTAAAGACAGAAAAAGGAGCTACGTGATTGGTGGGAACATGGTAACGAGAAAAACACGAATAAATTAGTGGAATGAAAAGCGTTCGTTGATACCTGTGGGATTTAGACTGCAGTTTTGAAAGATGAGCTTTTGTTTAAGAGTTTTCCGGCTTTTCGTGCTACCTAAGTGTAAGGAAAGACCGCAGATTGCCATGTGTTGCTTAGAATGGTTAGGTAAATTAAAATGTCTAACGATTGGTTTCGATGTGTCCTTGACCGATTCCGAGAACACCTTCGCTGAAGATATAGTCCGGCCAGTTTTAGAGTATGCTGTACCTGTCTGGCAGGATATTTCTGCCTATCTGTCCGAATCCATAGTGCGAGTCCAAAAAAAGGGCGCTTAATATAATTTACCCCGAGGCTGAGTCATATGCCATATGCTTATGCCTTACAGTTAGGTAAATTAAATAAAGGCTGATAGTTTCTAAAGAAATTGTTTGGGGCTGCGTCGGTGGGGGTAACGAAATAATTCGAATATATCAACAAAGTTGAAATGGTAAATTGGCCACCGTTACGATTATAAAAGCTGACGTTTCGAGCGTTAGCCCTTCGTCGGAGCGAATAGGGCAATTGTGGGTTGTGTGTACTTTTAAAGACAGAAAAAGGAGCTACGTGATTGGTGGGAACATGGTAACGAGAAAAACACGAATAAATTAGTGGAATGAAAAGCGTTCGTTGATACCTGTGGGATTTAGACTGCAGTTTTGAAAGATGAGCTTTTGTTTAAGAGTTTTCCGGCTTTTCGTGCTACCTAAGTGTAAGGAAAGACCGCAGATTGCCATGTGTTGCTTAGAATGGTTAGGTAAATTAAAATGTCTAACGATTGGTTTCGATGTGTCCTTGACCGATTCCGAGAACACCTTCGCTGAAGATATAGTCCGGCCAGTTTTAGAGTATGCTGTACCTGTCTGGCAGGATATTTCTGCCTATCTGTCCGAATCCATAGTGCGAGTCCAAAAAAAGGGCGCTTAATATAATTTACCCCGAGGCTGAGTCATATGCCATATGCTTATGCCTTACAGTTAGGTAAATTAAATAAAGGCTGATAGTTTCTAAAGAAATTGTTTGGGGCTGCGTCGGTGGGGGTAACGAAATAATTCGAATATATCAACAAAGTTGAAATGGTAAATTGGCCACCGTTACGATTATAAAAGCTGACGTTTCGAGCGTTAGCCCTTCGTCGGAGCGAATAGGGCAATTGTGGGTTGTGTGTACTTTTAAAGACAGAAAAAGGAGCTACGTGATTGGTGGGAACATGGTAACGAGAAAAACACGAATAAATTAGTGGAATGAAAAGCGTTCGTTGATACCTGTGGGATTTAGACTGCAGTTTTGAAAGATGAGCTTTTGTTTAAGAGTTTTCCGGCTTTTCGTGCTACCTAAGTGTAAGGAAAGACCGCAGATTGCCATGTGTTGCTTAGAATGGTTAGGTAAATTAAAATGTCTAACGATTGGTTTCGATGTGTCCTTGACCGATTCCGAGAACACCTTCGCTGAAGATATAGTCCGGCCAGTTTTAGAGTATGCTGTACCTGTCTGGCAGGATATTTCTGCCTATCTGTCCGAATCCATAGTGCGAGTCCAAAAAAAGGGCGCTTAATATAATTTACCCCGAGGCTGAGTCATATGCCATATGCTTATGCCTTACAGTTAGGTAAATTA